AACATGACAAGGAGCCTAAGCAGTTAATAATAAAATAAGAACAAATAAAGAAATTACTAATGATAGCACAAATAACGATAGGCCTACAAATGAAATAAATTGCTTTTTAGTTTTTCAGGTAGGCCTTACACACAGTAGGGCTATTAAGATTTTTTTTTTACCAATTATCCAAATAATGTTTAATCCTAGAAAGCTATTATTATCAGAGGACACATGAGCATAACGGTTAGCAGATCAATGAGTGAGAGGGCAGCGTTACCAGAGTTGCCCGTTTACCACATCATGTTACAACACAGTAGGGCTATTGCAAAAAGAAACAATACTGTACTACATCGATGTTTCCTGTCAGTGTCACACCATGTGAAAGTGAAACCTGAGCGGTGAACTAATTTTCGGCAGCCGGAATTTCAATGCATCTCTAATTATTGGCGACATCATAAATGGATATTATAGAATAACTGCTTTTTTGAACATTTTAGCAATTTAAAAATATAAAAAAATGATTTTTTGGGGTTGGGAAACATTGCTTTACAGGGTTAATAAAAGAACTAGAGCAGGGGTTTTCAACCTGTGGGCCGCAGACGGTATTGCAGGGGAGGCCGCCAATTACTATTAAAACAAAAAATAATATTGTTAATATATGTAAAAATGTCTAAGTCATAACATAATATCATAATTTCATATATATAATTAATTAACAAAAAATAAATATTACACTTTTTTTATTATTACTTTGCTTCCACTATTCGAGCTCATTGATTGGTTTAAGAATAAACCGCCAATTCTAAAATATTTTTGCTGCATATGCTACAGAACAACAGATTCAAACATGGATAAATGGCTGTCAACAGGGTCGCTGAAAAGAACAAATGAAGATGTTTCTCCATCTACAAGTAGGCCTGACACTGAAAAGACTCAAAATAAATCTAAAAGAAAATACAGTAGTGACTATCTAGCGCTAGGCTTCATGTGTGTGGGAGTGGAGAACAAGCAGCTACCGCTCTGCGTTGTTTGCTCAGAAGTCTTATCAAATGAAGCTTTGAAACCGAGCAAACTACGACGGCACTTGGAGACTAAACACAGTGAATATGTGTGTTGAAAACTATTGAGTTTTTTTAGAGCAAACTGAAAGAGTACCAAAGCAGGAAACAAACTATTGAAACTGCGTTCTCTGGCAACGACAACAGTAAAGCAGTGGAGGCATCTTATCATGAAGCAAAGCTCATCGCAAAGGCTGGAAAACCTCACACAGTTGCTGAAATTTTGATTTTACCAGCCGCGAAAGAAATGGTTGGCGTGATGTGTGGAGAAAAGGCTAAATCTGATTTCACTTTCAGATAATACAGTTGAGAGAAGATTAAATGAAATGGCAGATGACATAACTCAGAAGTTGGTTAAAAACATTCGAGAGAGTCCCTTTTATGCCCTACAGTTGGATGAATCGACTGATATAGCAAACCTTTCCAACCTCATTGCTTATGTACGGTATGTACATAACGGAGAATTACAAGAGGATTTCCTTTTCTGTAAGTCGCTGCCGACTCAATCAACTACCGAAGCCATATTTGATATTTTGAATGCATTTATTGTTTCAAATGGAATAGATTGGTCTAAATGCGTGGGTCTGAGCACAGAAGGAGCCAGAGCGATGGTGGGGCATCGTAACGCGTGAGATCAGTTGATCACTGCAGTTTACATCGAGAAGCACTAGCTACCAAGAAGATGCCCACAGATCTCAGATGTGTCTTGGATGAGGCTGTTAAAATAGTCAATTTCATAAAGACTAGGCCCCTTCAGTCACGTTTGTTTCGACTTCTCTGTGAAGAAATGGGAAGTGATCATGTTCAGCTTCTTTTAAACACTGAGGTACGATGGCTTTCACGAGGCAGGGTGCTTACTCGTCTCTTCGAATTACGCAACGAAGCACGGAATTTTTTATCCAATTCAAAACTTCCCCTTTCGGACCGCCTCAGTGATTTTGAGTGGCTTGCAAAATTGTCCTACCCCTTTCTTCACTTCAGCCCGACATACAGCACTTAATAAATGCTAAACAACACCAACCTTCGCATTAGGTAAGTGACAAAGATTGTAGTTTATGAGGCCAGAAGGTTTTATATTTATTTATTTTCTTGCATGTTATCCATTAAGTTTGTGTCATGGCTGTTGTTTTCAGATTATTCACACAATGCAAATAACCCCTTTCTTCACTTCAGCCCGACATACAGCACTTAATAAATGCTAAACAACACCAACCTTCGCATTAGGTAAGTGACAAAGATTGTAGTTTATGAGGCCAGAAGGTTTTATATTTATTTATTTTCTTGCATGTTATCCATTAAGTTTGTGTCATGGCTGTTGTTTTCAGATTATTCACACAATGCAAATTAAAAATGGTCAGGACTAGGGTTTGATCGCTGTTTTCTCAGTTCTGTTTCCCTCGTGTCTTTGTTTTTCCCTTCAACGCAGCAGCTGCTCTTTGGTTTCTTGCCAGTTTGATCTCTCTTGATTTGTCGCTCTATATCTGCTCTCAATTTGCGCTTGTCACTCGAGTCTGACTCTAGTCTTGCTTTGTGCAGTGCTCCAGTTCTCTGCCGGTTTTGACTGCTCGTCTCAACACTGCTCTGCATGTTCCCTCCTGACTGCTTGCTTCGCTGACTGTCTACCCGCTGCCGACCTCTACCTGGATCTGGTTTTCCCGTTTTGCTGAGCGGTGCCAGCCCGAGTTATTTTCTGTTCATTGCCAGTTAATTCAATAAAGACAGTTAACAATCTAGCTTCTGAGTACTCAGTTATTAACCCAACAAATAGTGGGGTCAGTTACATTTTTTTGCAGTGGGAACATATGTGTTTGGTTGTGTGGGCCGCGAGTTGAAAAAGGTTGGGAAACACTGACCTAGAGAAATAATTCTCACATGATGGATAACATAAATGGATTAGCACCTCAACAAAACAGCTAAGATACTAAGATCACAGATGATAATAAAGTGAGGAATCAGTCAAAACTGGCCTGATGGCCTGATCCCCAAGCCCTGTTTTTCAGACTGCAGAGATCAGTCAAGCTGTCTGTCTCTTTTCTTTTCTGTGGGCCACTCGGCCACTCTGCTGCCTTGTGACCAGCCCTAAAACTCAATTACCGCTCCTTTTAACTCATTTTGCTTGCCGTTTTGAGTGAAATACTCTGCTTGTGCTCCACAATCAGTGACTTAGGAATTATAATGCCTAAAATAGGCTCAATAATGCTTTAAACAAACAAAAGTAAACAATGCTGCCATTTTAACCTCACAGAAAAACTTTCGCATGCGTCATGAAAGCACTCTGGACCAAAATTAATCAGTCACCCATTATTCTTTCTCCCCCGGTCTTCTTATTATTCACTCATTATTCTTTCTCTTTGCTTACCGAAGTTGACGTTGTATTCGCCACCCCTCTCACGGTACATCTGGTAAACAAAGAAGCAGGAAACAGGTTTGAGCAGCAGGCTCAGGATGGCCATGCCCCCACTAAAGCGGAACAAGTCCAGTGCCACGCTTTTATACTGGATTTCACCCGCTGCGTAGTACAGCCCAAAATGTACAATGTCAGTCAGGATGGTCACTGCCAACCCAATCAAGAACTGAATGAAGCAGAGCAGAGATCAAATATTAGTATGACAAATATACTATGCACAAGCACATAAGAAGGTCAAAACATAATCTCAGCATGCTCATGGGCCATCTTGTAAACTCTAATCTGATTGGCTGGCTTTAAATAACTTCCGGGAGGAGGTCACAGAGATTTTTTCTATCAGGAATTCAAATGAATTCAAACTACATTACAAATATAATCAAATTTTATACATTACACACATCACACATAATATTTTTCAGATAAACTCACCCCTAACTGGCATACAAAAACCAAACAAACTGTAATTTCTTGCTTTATATGTCAGTCAGATGCTCTTTTTCTGTCTAAGAGGGTGATTTTTACCGACAGATGTAACTTACAGTAAAAATTCTGGCTATGCAAGACTCAAGCTGTGGATTTCTCATCTGTCATCGTTAATTAATAAATTGTTTGTCTTTAAGTCTTCATAACCTAAAAAAAACATGTTCTTCTTTGATGAAAAAAATCACACTTACCATTAATACAGCGTCTATGGAGTCTCTCTGTGCAATGGCCCACACTCCCACTGCAAGAGCACTCATGTTCCCCAACACATAAGAAGTAGGAAGCCAGGTGATCAAACATGCCCTGCATACAAACATGCATTCAAACCTTTTAAGACTACTATTTTAATTAGGGCTGTCAATATAACTCAGTTTTCTAAAATAAATAAATAAAACAATCATGCCGGTTTTTTTATATAGCAAATAGCAAATTTTATAATAAGCAATTTTTCTACTGTCGAAGCATTCAAGCTTCAAGTACCACCTAAATGCAAAGCATATTTGCGACCTCCAGTTGCTACTACAGACAATGTACCACACTGAGAGAAGAGATCAATTAAAATGATTCAAAATAATCTATTACATAATTTGTTTATACAATACAATGTTTACATGGCTTCAAATGTTTTATATAGCCTACAAACACATTTACAGGCTTGACTTTTTTAGTCTGAAGAAGAAATGTATTTCCATTTCTGCTGAACTGAGAACTGGTGAAATTCCTCAGGTTAGTGTGGGAAAACAGGCTGTTGTTTTCAGATTATTCACACAATGCAAATAAAAAATGGACTAGGGTTTGATCGTTGTTTTCTCAGTTCTGTGTTTCCCTCGTGTCTTTATTTTTGTTTTTCCCTTCAACGCAGCAGCTGCACGCAGCGCAGCTGCTCATTGGTTTCTCGCCAGTTTTATCTCTCTTGATTTTTCGCTCTATATCTGCTCTCAATTTGCGCTTGTCACTCGAGTCTGACTCTAGTCTTGCTTTGTGCAGTGCTCCAGTTCTCTGCCGGTTTTGACTGCTCGTCTCAACACTGCTCTGCATGTTCCCTCCTGACTGCTTGCTTCGCTGACTGTCTACCCGCTGCCGACCTCTACCTGGATCTGGTTTTCCCGTTTTGCTGAGCGGTGCCAGCCCGAGTTATTTTCTGTTCATTGCCAGTTAATTCAATAAAGACAGTTAACAATCTAGCTTCTGAGTACTCAGTTATTAACCCAACAAATAGTGGGGTCAGTTACATTTTTTTGCAGTGGGAACATATGTGTTTGGTTGTGTGGGCCGCGAGTTGAAAAAGGTTGGGAAACACTGACCTAGAGAAATAATTCTCACATGATGGATAACATAAATGGATTAGCACCTCAACAAAACAGCTAAGATACTAAGATCACAGATGATAATAAAGTGAGGAATCAGTCAAAACTGGCCTGATCCCTTTAGGCCCAAGCCCTGTTTTTCAGACTGCAGAGATCAGTCAAGCTGTCTGTCTCTTTTCTTTTCTGTGGGCCACTCTGTCAGGCATCTGCCTTGTGACCAGCCCTAAAACTCAATTACCGCTCCTTTTAACTCATTTTGCTTGCCGTTTTGAGTGAAATACTCTGCTTGTGCTCCACAATCAGTGACTTAGGAATTATAATGCCTAAAATAGGCTCAATAATGCTTTAAACAAACAAAAGTAAACAATGCTGCCATTTTAACCTCACAGAAAAACTTTCGCATGCGTCATGAAAGCACTCTGGACCAAAATTAATCAGTCACCCATTATTCTTTCTCCCCCGGTCTTCTTATTATTCACTCATTATTCTTTCTCTTTGCTTACCGAAGTTGACGTTGTATTCGCCACCCCTCTCACGGTACATCTGGTAAACAAAGAAGCAGGAAACAGGTTTGAGCAGCAGGCTCAGGATGGCCATGCCCCCACTAAAGCGGAACAAGTCCAGTGCCACGCTTTTATACTGGATTTCACCCGCTGCGTAGTACAGCCCAAAATGTACAATGTCAGTCAGGATGGTCACTGCCAACCCAATCAAGAACTGAATGAAGCAGAGCAGAGATCAAATATTAGTATGACAAATATACTATGCACAAGCACATAAGAAGGTCAAAACATAATCTCAGCATGCTCATGGGCCATCTTGTAAACTCTAATCTGATTGGCTGGCTTTAAATAACTTCCGGGAGGAGGTCACAGAGATTTTTTCTATCAGGAATTCAAATGAATTCAAACTACATTACAAATATAATCAAATTTTATACATTACACACATCACACATAATATTTTTCAGATAAACTCACCCCTAACTGGCATACAAAAACCAAACAAACTGTAATTTCTTGCTTTATATGTCAGTCAGATGCTCTTTTTCTGTCTAAGAGGGTGATTTTTACCGACAGATGTAACTTACAGTAAAAATTCTGGCTATGCAAGACTCAAGCTGTGGATTTCTCATCTGTCATCGTTAATTAATAAATTGTTTGTCTTTAAGTCTTCATAACCTAAAAAAAACATGTTCTTCTTTGATGAAAAAAATCACACTTACCATTAATACAGCGTCTATGGAGTCTCTCTGTGCAATGGCCCACACTCCCACTGCAAGAGCACTCATGTTCCCCAACACATAAGAAGTAGGAAGCCAGGTGATCAAACATGCCCTGCATACAAACATGCATTCAAACCTTTTAAGACTACTATTTTAATTAGGGCTGTCAATATAACTCAGTTTTCTAAAATAAATAAATAAAACAATCATGCCGGTTTTTTTATATAGCAAATAGCAAATTTTATAATAAGCAATTTTTCTACTGTCGAAGCATTCAAGCTTCAAGTACCACCTAAATGCAAAGCATATTTGCGACCTCCAGTTGCTACTACAGACAATGTACCACACTGAGAGAAGAGATCAATTAAAATGATTCAAAATAATCTATTACATAATTTGTTTATACAATACAATGTTTACATGGCTTCAAATGTTTTATATAGCCTACAAACACATTTACAGGCTTGACTTTTTTAGTCTGAAGAAGAAATGTATTTCCATTTCTGCTGAACTGAGAACTGGTGAAATTCCTCAGGTTAGTGTGGGAAAACATAAAAGAGAAAGGCAAAGGCACTGTAACTCTCACCAGACTGTCAGTAACCAGTGAACCAACACGATGGCCTGCAGAAAAAATACACACACACACACACAGTGCAGCTCATGAGTAAATGTACAAATCTGTCCCCTAGACATACTGTAGGTCGTGGCTCAAACCCAGTAAGCATTCAGTCATGGGCGTTTTTGGGCCTACATGTCCAAAAATGTTGCTGCACCTATGATCTGGGGTATCTCTAAAAATCACTTTGCCCAGAACAAATACAAATACCTTTAATAAAGGCAACGCATTTCTAAAATAATGAGGATATGAACCCATACAAAAGAACAATTCTGTCCAAAATAAAGAAAACAAATGTATTTACAGCACTGCTATATCCATTCAGAATCTTACTGGTTCCTCGTTATAATAAAATAATATTACCAGTTTTGAAACACAGCCACTGACATACAATAGTAGAGGTTGAATTAGAATCACGGAAGCACAACTGAGGAAATAATGTAACAAAATTGACAAAAAGTTGCTTTAATGGATAATAGGTAATTGATAATAAAGTTACTGATAAATTATTTAACAAATTTAATGTTTCCTGTGTCATAAAGTGTAGACATATGTCTCAATAAAACCACAATTTTCTTTTTTTCTTTTGATCTTGAAGGTTTTTTGATGGATCATTTAGGGTTATAATAAAATAATATTACCAGTTTTGAAACACAGCCACTGACATACAATAGTAGAGGTTGAATTAGAATCACGGAAGCACAACTGAGGAAATAATGTAACAAAATTGACAAAAAGTTGGATAATAGGTAATTGATAATAAAGTTACTGATAAATTATTTAACAAATTTAATGTTTCCTGTGTCATAAAGTGTAGACATATGTCTCAATAAAACCACAATTTTCTTTTTTTCTTTTGATCTTGAAGGTTTTTTGATGGATCATTTAGTAATGAATTTCTTTTTATCTCAATGTACTCACTATACAACACACATACTGTAACATAAATACATTACCTTGAGATTTATGGCTGGTATTTCCATAGTGTCACTGCCCCTTTACGATTTAGTGTCCCTCTGTAGTTTTCAGTATTTCACAAATGAAGCCTGAAACACTTTCATCGTAACTGTGTGTAACAGACGTTTGCCCAGCTCTCTGAAGTGACTGCAAACATCAACCATGTGACACCAGCCTGACCAGAGCCATGTGACTACACCTCCCTCCACTCATTACTCCATCTGCAAATCCGAGAGCAGGACAGCCTGTGTGTCTATGCATTGATGTCACAATTGTTTTAATTTCTACTGTGCATATTTACAATAATGTTTTCTGAATGTTATAGGAGAGATCAGGGCTCGTTGTCACATTTGGAAGTGTAACGAAATGTCTCAATACAGGAAAGGGTCACACTGTTCCCAACCACCCATAGTTTCTTCTTTTTTTTTTTTACTTTTCCTTTATGTATTCTGTCATTGTGCATGTTGTTTGACACTAGAAAAATATCAATGCATCTAATCAGAGTTTAGATAGGTTATTCTTCAGCTCCCATTGATTTGTGGCTCATGTTATTTTAATGCAAGACCTTTAAAGACTTGTCATAGCAGAAACAACCAAAATAAATTGCACATACCGCTTGGCACATTCACTAATACTAAATAAAATATACCCTGTACTCATAAATGATTTGTTAAATGCTCCTACACAAACACACATACACACACACTTATGGACATGAAATTACTAAACACAACAAAGCTGAATTTGATAGATCATGCTAGCGATCCAATTAGCCAGCTGTGGTCCATGATTTTAAGAAAACCTGGGACAGTTCGTTGGAAGAATATGTCACCTAAGTCTGATGAATAGCCCAGATTTATTCAATTAGCTTAGAGCAGGGATCCTCAAATCTGGCCCACGAGATCCACTTTCCTGCAGAGTTTAGCTCTAACCCTAATCAAACACACCTGAGCATGCTAATCAATGTCTTCAGGATCATTACAAAATCACAGGTAGGTGAGTTTGATCAGGGTTGGAGCTAAACTCTGCAGCGCATTGGCCCTCCAGGGCAAGATTTGAGGAACCCTGGCTTAGAGGAACTAAAATCTACTTTGGAAGTTTTTCACGCGTCATATGGGAAATTAGTGTCTTTGTTGTTTGAGTGTCTGGTAGAAAGGTTCACCTTCCTGTTTGACCTCTGATATACATTAGGCTTGTCTTTACAAATTACAGTGTTATAATGCAAATAAGATGTAGTTTGTGTGTGTGTTTGCTAAAGCCAGTTTCACTATTAAGCCAGTCACACTAGACTTTGAACGTACAAAATTTCTATGGACACTGGATGGTTTGTAATACATTTTAAATGTAAAATGATGCAATCCACTACATTTTACAGCAATGCTGCAATATTTAAAGGTTTCGTTCTTTTATTTCTGCCTAGAGGTCACACTGGTATTTTGATCTTCTATTGGTCAGACTTCTTCCCTTGATGCAAATTTGCAGGACAGAGTTCAACAAACGTATACTTCAGAATGCACCAAAATTCACATGAACTTGCATTTCCTATCTCCAGCATTCAGATATATATGAATAATCAATGTAGAAATAGAAGAACCAATTTAACGAAAAGTGTAGTGTGACTGCACCTTTACTCTTGTTCATTCTTATGAACAAACCCCTAATTTGAGTTAATTAGAGCATTTGTATGCCACTAATTCTAACATGTTGGTGCTATGGTCATGAAGGATACCTCAAAACGTGGCTTATTGATGAGAAATGTGCTATTCATTTTCACTCATTTAGCAATGTTTTGACAACCATGAAGAACACTGTAAAATCATGGCATTTAGGCATACACCACTTACAGTTTCTACAGAATATGTCGAAAAATATACAATCTGTACAATCCTGTACTGATACACACATGATGTTTAGAAAAAAAGGAAGAATTTTCGTGTTACAACGTACTGCTATCACGCAACACAGTAAAATTTCCTGTGTTACTTAAATCACAGTTCCCTATCGATACTTCACTCGTACTGCGTCTGCTAAGACTCTATGAGAAAAAATCCTTTTTTCTCCTGAACTGAAGCCTTTTTCAATAACGCAGTGTAACTGCATGGCAATTGGTTCGTGCCGTTCACTTAAAAAACTAACCAATGGCTCGGCAGCGGTGCTGCACGAACCTATGGCCACGAAGCCCCCCAGAATGGGCGGGGCCATCTGGCTATATTAGCCGGGTACTTCGCCATAGGATTCAGATTTCTTCTCCTTCAACGACGACGACGTTCTTCGCTGATCTTTGCTGACTGAAGAGCCTGCTCGCTGTTGACACGCCTCGCAGTGGAAAAGCGACCTCTCTGCTCGGCTGATTCGCCGCCTTCAGCGCCGCACAGCAGTGGTCCAGCTTCCCCTACTGCCATCTGGCGAGCCTTACAAAGAGCACATTTCTAAGAGCACATTTTTGCAGCGTTGCTTCAAATGCTGAGTCGTTATTGTGGTATGTACAGGTCTCCACTGCACGCCGATGACGGCCACCGTGAGTGCGTTTCCTGCTTGGGGAAATCCCACACAGAATCCGCACTCACTGAGACTGATTGTTTCCACTGTGAGAACATGAGTCTCGCCACTCTGCATTCATGGATAGCTTTCTTTTCAGAGAGCGACTCCGCCCCTCGCGCCCTCCCGCTTTCTTCCCACCAGGAGCCTGTGAGGAAAAAGCAGCGGGGCAGGGGATTGCAGCGCTCGGATGCGAGCAAGCTCACGTCGGCTCAAGTCCCACGTGCTTCGCTCTCTCCTCACAGAGAGGTTTCCCCCATCCTCTTTTCCCAGCCTGACCAGCGTCCCTCTGCCAGCGCGAGTGATCTCTCGTTCGGTGGGAGTGATGATGAGCTGCTGGATGACAGCATGTCATTAGCAGCCTCGGACGCAGAGGAGCTGTCGGGCTCGACTGCCGCCCCTGCCCCCCTACCGTCGTCCGAGCCCAGCGACGTTAAGCCCAGGATGGATGCCAAATTACTCTGTGTCCTCTCGAAAGCCGTCGAGGAGCTGGGATTGGAGTGGTCTCCACCAGAGGAGCCCTCCCGCAGCCTTTGGACGAGTGGTTCATGCCGGGGCGCCGTCAAGCCCTTCGTCAGCGATCCTCTCCTTTTTTTCCTGGAGGTCCATTATGAGCTCACCAGGTCATGATGCACCCCATACTCTGCACACCTCCGTACTTCCGCTTCATCCGCCCTCACTTCGGGGGACGGCGCTGAAGATAAGGGATACGAGAAGCTGCCTCCGCTGGACGATTCAGTGGCCGCGCATCTCTGCCCGCCCACTGCTATCGGCTGGAAGGCAAAGGCTCCCCATCCGTCCAAGCCATGTAAATCTGCCATCTTCAGCACTCGATGGATGCACCTACTACTCGGCTGGGCAAACTCCTCGCCAACACAGACGAGTCTGGCCCAGACCCAGCGTTGCTCAGGGAGCTGAGAAGCGTGACGGACCTGGCTTTGCACGCCACCAAAGCAACAGCTCAGGCTATAGGGCGTTCCATGGCCAGTCTGGTGGTCCTCGAGTGCCTCTTATGGCTGACCTTGATGGAAATCAAGGACAACGTGATTTCCCTTCCTTGGTGCTCCGATCTCCCCCACCGGTCTGTTCTGGCCAGCGGTCGAAGGATTCGCTGAGCATTTCACGAAGGCACAAAAGTCGTCCCAAACCATGCGACACTTCCTGCCAAAACGCTCTAGCTCTGCAGCTGTCGACGTTCCCGCTTGGCCAAACGCTACTCGTTTCTGAAGCGTCAGGGACCCCGGCCCAAGATAGCGCTGGACCCTTGTGCCTCAGGGGTCGTCCTGATCTATGGGACAGAAAGAGGAGGGGACCCAGTCTCACTGCAGCTGGACCACCCCCCAAGCTGCCTCTCTTAAGCTGCCAATCACCCCATCCAGTTCCGGGTGCAGTCAGCGATGTGTTTGCTGTAAACTCTGGGCCCGTTCAAGCACTGATCCGCTGTTATAGCGGGCAGATTAAAACACAAACATTTTCAAAAAGAAAGCAGATTTCCTGTTCCATGTAGCATTTGGACCAATCAGACACACTCTGTTCATTAGATTTAATAAATCAATTATTCATTAGATCAGGGTTCCTCAAATCTTGCCCTGGAGGGCCAATGCACTGAGTTTAGCTCCAACCCTGATCAAACTCACCTACCTGTGATTTTCTAATGATCCTGAAGATATTGATTAGCATGCTCATGTGTGTTTGATTAAGGTTAGAGCTAAACTCTGCAGGAAAGTGGATCTAGTGGGTGAGATTTGAGGATCCCTGCATTAGATTAACAAACAATCACAGAGCCCTCACCCAACACCAGACTCAGTATCTATATGTCTGTGAACGATCTCCAGGCCAGGACACCTCAGCCAGATTAGATCAACTTTACGACCTAAAAGTATATGAATAAAACAAAACTATGCGAAAGCAAATATGTCAAGTCAAGTCAAGTCACCTTTATTTATATAGCGCTTTTAACAATACAGATTGTGTCAAAGCAACTTTACAGTACTAAATAGGAAAATAGTGTGTCAATAATGCAAAATGATTAAATTTTCAGTTAAAGGCAGTTCATCATTGAATTCAGTGATGTCATCATCCAGCTCAGTTCAGTTTAAATAGTATCTGTGCAATCAAGTCGACGATATCGCTGCATATTATGTGTCCCCAACTAAGCAAGCCAGAGGCGACAGCGGCAAGGAACCAAAACTCCATCGGTGACAGAATGGATCTTGATCTTGATCTTTAAGTCTGGATCAAGTTTAACGGGGTCATATGACGTTGCTAAAAATAACATTATTTGGTGTATTTGGTGTAATGCAATGTGTTTATACAGTTAAAAGAAAAAAAACCACATTACTTTCCACATACTGTACATTATTGTTTCTCCTCTATGCCCCGCCTTTCTGAAATGCGTCGATTTTTAGAAAGCTCATTGTTCTGAAAAGCGAGGTGTGCTCTAATTGGCCAGCTATCCGGTGTGTTGTGATTGGCTGAATGCCTCAAGCGTGTGACGGAAATGTTATGTCCCTTACCATACTGTGATGCCGTGTCCCGGAGCGACAAGACAAAATGAAACCCATTACACACGAGGCATTTGTTGCATCCAGTGGGGACATAATTACTGATTATAATGACTTATACTGTCTTTTTACGCATTGCGT